AAATCTAAGTTTTATCCTAGCCATCTTAAAACTGACCATATGAAAATTTTTGAAAAATTATGCCTCAAAGATTTAAGAGAAATTAAAACGAGAGGAAATAAGCCAGATAATTTAACTAGAAAGGAAGTCATGGCCCTTCAAGATATCAAGAAGGACAAAACAATAGTGGTAAAACCTGCGGATAAAGGGGGAGGGGTAGTGATCTGGAAAAAAGAAGATTATCTAAAGGAAATTCATAAACAATTGGAAGATTCGGACACCTATATTAAACTCGGCAATAATCCTTTAGAAAAAATTAAAACCACTTATAAACATTTTTTAGATAAAGGTTTTAATGAGGGTATTTTAACTAAGAAGGAATACGAGTTTTTAGACGTCAAATTCCCTAGAATTCCGGTGATCTATGTTTTACCTAAGATGCATAAAGATCCTGTTAATCCACCAGGGAGACCAATTGTATCTGGAATTGGATCTCTCTTATCACCGCTCTCCAAGTATATAGATCATTTTTTACAAGACTTAGTCCCCAAATGTCCGGCATATCTAAAAGATACTATTAGCCTTTTTACAAATTTTAAATAATTTTAAATGGGAAGATTCCTTTATAATGGCTACTTGTGATGTCAGTAGCCTCTACACTAATATTGAACATGGGGTAGGGTGTGAGGCTACTAGACATTTTTTAAATAAATCTGGTAATTTTATAGAAACACAAATCAATTTTATTGTGCAGGGGATCAATATGATTCTTAAAAACAATTTTTTTTGGTTTGAAAATGATTTTTACCTCCAAACCAAGGGAACTACCATGGGGACCAGATTTGCCCCGAGTTATGCCAACCTTTTTATGTCATTTTGGGAAGAAAAATATGTTTTTTCTAGGTTGGACATAGGGGCAAGTCTGGTCCTCTATAAAAGATATATAGATAATATTTTTATTATATGGAGAGGCAGTTCCAAATCTTTACTAGATTTTATTGATTCTCTTAACAATAATATGTGGAATATTAAGCTGACCCATGTCATTAGCCCCTCAAATATTAACTTTTTAGATTTAGATATTTTTATAGATAATGGTGTAATTAAGAGTCGGACATATTTTAAATCTGTAGATGTTAATAGTTTTATTGATTTTTCCAGCTGCCATTTTAAGCCATGGTTATCAAACATACCAAAAGGACAATTTTTAAGGTTGAAGAGAAATTGTACAGATGAACGGGATTTTAACGATCAGGTTAAAATTTTAGAAAAACAATTTTTAGAAAAGGGATATGATAAAAATATTCTAGAAAAAGCCTATAAACAGGTAAAAGAGGAAGACCGTTGAAATATAAAGATAAGCAAGCTAAAAAAGAAGGACTAGAAACTATCCCATTAATTTTTAATTTTAATTCTAACAACCGCACTTTACGTAAAATTATTGATAAAAATTGGCATGTTTTAAAGTTAGATGATGAGTTACGCCCACTAATAGGAGAAAAAGCTAAATTAATTTTTAGAGGAGCTAGAAATTTTAAGCAAATTTAAACTAGCAGCTTCCAAGAGAGAGAAAAGAAAGAATGTTCCAATAACTTTTTAAAGGAACAGAAAGGATTCTTCTATTGTGGAAATTGTAGAGGGTGTAAAGTAAGAGCTGGGAAAAATAGAAGAATTTTTAAATTCATTTCTTTTAATACTAAAACAGAATATGAAATTAAACACTTTATCACATGCAATACTGCTGATGTTGTTTATATGATAACATGTCCCTGCGGGTTACAATATGTAGGGAAAACGTCTCGTTCATTAAAAATACGAATTAGGGAGCATATATACAACATCAGGAGAAGATTCCCTAACCATTGTTTATCTAAACATTTTTTGGAATATCATGATGGAGACCCAGCAGGCCTGGATTTTTTTGCAATAGATCATATTAAAATACACTGGAGAGGGGGTGATAAGGATAATCTTTTAAGCAAAAATGAGATGAAATGGATTTTTAATTTGGATACACTTACACCGGGGGGATTAAACGTAGATTTTGAAATTAATACTTATATTTAACTATAATTATTTATTAAATCTATTGGAGATTATTTTAGGTTGTTTTATATTAATAAGATATTTTTTAATTCTAATTTTAGTAATACTGATTAATATTTTATAAATATTGATTATAATAAGTGTATTTTAAGTATGATGCATTCTCCCGATATACCTTTAAATGTGAATAAGAAGATTTTTCTATTTTGATCTTTTATTTCCCTTTTAAATTTATTCCCTCTTCTTTTGCCTCTCTTTTACCTTTTTTAATCCTTTTTTTGAGAAAGAGAGAGTTTAACTGTTGCTAATATTCTACGTATTGCAATAAGAATATCTGACTATAATATTTGTTTTAATGTTATTGACAATATGTATGAAGTATGTTGCCAATAGGACTCTGATTATTGCAACATGAAAGACTGTTTAAGTGAATGGACTAGTTCGCTGTTCCTTTTCTTCAATGAACATGGAAGTAAATTTTTAAATAGGCAAATAAAATAAATAAAGTTGCAACAAAAAAAAAAAAAAAGGGGGAGGAGCTTATTTCCGAAAAAAGGCACGAAAATTTGCCTATTTAAAAATGGAACTGACTGAATGGACTCACGCTTTGATAAAGGCTTTGGCTGAAACGCGTTAGTGTGCAGAGGTGGAATTGCTGAATTTTAATTTTTACTGCTGCTGTCTTTTTTTGCTGCTATACCGAATAAAGGTTTTCATTAAAGATCCTGCATCCTGGATTTTGTAAAGCAAGAAGGAGCAAGCAATTAAGCAGTTGGATTACAACGACCACCTCACTAATCCATTCAATGTTCCTAGTCTGAGCCAGCTTCCATATTAAGTGGCTCATGAATATGTGAGTTTATTCAAGTATTTACTCATTCATATATTATTTGTACGTTATTACCCTATGCCTGTTTTTCCCATTGTGTTTTTACAGGTTTTATATTGAATATAAGGGTAATTATTGTTTCTCTGTGCTCTCACCATTTTTTACTGTTTTAACCATTTATTTATGTGAGGTGGAGTGACCCACATTGCTGGTGATTGTAGCACTTTGTCTTATATTGTTTTTTTCACCATATATACACTTATTAGATGGTATTTCTTAACAATGTTACAGAAAGTGAGAGATCTTTTTAAATAGTCGTCTTTGTACAATCAATTCAGGACACACCAGGAAAGAAGAAAGGAGAGTAGGAGAAGAGCATGTGGTCCTTTGTCCTCAGTTCCTTATAGGCAAAATTATGTCATAACTTTTAATTTAGACTCTGGCCATATAAGGAAACTCCCCATATAAGGACTCTTCCAGCAATCTCTCTATACAGCACATTCCAGAGTCCTCATGGTACAGAATAGCAAACACCATCTGTTCTTTTTTAACCATTATTATTATTATTATTTTATTATTTATATAGCGCCATCAGATTCCGTAGCGCTGTACAATGGGGGGACTAACAGACATGTAATAGTAACATCCACACCTTAATATGTATTAAGACATCCATCCACACCTTAATATGTATTTGAATAGGAACATATAGAACATGTAATATTCTACATACACTGTAGTGGTTATGGTCCTTCAAGTGTTCCTTTATGTTCTTGATATTAAATAATTAATGTGTTCATTTATAAATATATATATGTGTGGGTTTTTTTGTGCTTGAACTTTAAATGCGCAAAAACATAATGGATATAGATATCTTTAATGTCAATTAAACATATTTAAACAATTCTTTTGATGTTAATGTGCTCCAATATTGATATATTATACCCTTTTTAAATGTCTTCGTCGGCATACGTAATGAAAAACCTGGGATGATCTTTAATTTAAAGGGAAATAATATGACATTGTCACCTCTAAACCTTTTCCTTTTGATCTAGAGAGAAGTAGAATCTATTAGAATTGCATGTTCGTCTCCTTTGTCATAGAACAGGTCTGCAAATGCCTTGCTGGATGCATGTAAATGTATTGTGGTGTCTGAAGAAATATTAAATAATCAAAGGCAAGGCTGCTTCAGTCATGTTTCAATGGATTCTTTAGTTTGGTCATTTCAAGCGTTCCTGACAGAACATCACTTTTATAAGCAAGGTGTTTTATTGAATTTCTTAAGTACACTTCATTTAATTTCCAATCTTGAAAATCAAATATTTTAATTGGTGCTATTCTTCTCCTGTATATGCATTTAACCTATATATGCATTTAAATACAATTAATTATCAGTGTCTTCTTGAGCTTAGATGATAAATAGCAATATTTTTATTAACAGTCTTAGATTTCCATATTTGTCATAAATGCCCTTAAATCCATAATTGGCATAAAAAAAAGACTGTGGATTATAATTCCCATGATTATCATGCTCAGCCGACCTCGTAATTGAAAGCATGCCCCAATCAGATGACAGACACATTTTCTGGGCTTTCAAATATTTTTTTATTATAAATATATGTTTTGTGTCTATTGCGCAAGTCCTATAGTCCCTTTTGTGCCATAATGAAGGATAACATAGAGAACACTAGAAAAATGTCCCTATGTCAATTTATGAAAAAGGTTCTTGACCAATATATAAAGTTTCTTTAGTGGGAGAAATGTATTCTGAGCAGATAAAAGTTACAGTTGTATCAGCAATCATGTGTGTGTTTTTAATTTTTATGTGTAAATAAATTTGTGCCTCAATCAATCAACAGCTGTTGTACTTGCTCTACTCAAATCTTTTATTTATGTACTTGTATGATCTGTGCGGAACCATTCTCTAAATATTACATGAGATCGGCCAACCCTACATGCCACATGTTCTATCAGTTAGCATATGGGTGAGTAATACAATTTTTACTGCTTTCTTTGATACATTTTTAGTGCATTTGAGACAGACGCAAGAGTTTTTATTTGTACAGTATTATTCACGGCTTTGTAAAACGTACTAATTTGAGGGAAAAAAAGAATAATTCAAACTCAAAGTGAGCACTGCAATGTCAAAGAAATAAATGGGTATCTTATCAGTTATATCTGTGTGATGTTGGGGAAGGGGAGGCAACTGAATCTGAGGAAGAAAGTTATGAAAAAACGAATCTTTGGAGATCCAACATTGGTTCCTTGGCAACATGGAGTAAATATGACTCTTCCTGTCTTTCAGAATTCCAGCCTCTGGGCAGTGAATATGCTATTTGCAGTTATACGGAGTTAAATTAAAGGCATATAATATGTTTAAGGCAATGCTTGGCTTAGTCTGAATGGGTGCGTGGGAGGGAGGGGCGGGTGCTATTAGCCTTAGTAACTTGACTTACCTGAACATATTTCGGCCATGCTTATCATACTGGTTTCAAATGTACATCAATTTACAGATGCTGTTAAATTTACTTACATTTTCCAGTCCCAGCAGCACTTAATTACTGCTTCCCTCCATTGCTTCCCTTTTCTTTCTCTAACCCTCCACTCCAGGCTCCTGCACCTGCAAATTTTACGCTTCAACTCCTTCAACCATAATAATCCATCTTTTTCCTTACAACATTGCAATAAATCTCTCTCCTAACGCCATTACAATCCATCTCTCTTCTTCCATCATTACAATCCATCTCTGTCTTAACACCATTACAATCCATTTCACAACTTACACCATTCTCCGACCAAAGATGACTTAAAGGAAAACTGTAGCATTACTAATACAAACTGTAGTGCAGTTTGGTTCTCTCTCCCCACAGGAGACAGAAAATAAGGTGATTTTCTAACCCTGTACCACACAGCTTGCAAATCTCGCTGGGGCTCACTGCATTAATCTAAAGTGGTCCTGGTGATTAGAGTGTCCATTTTAAAAATGGATTCCTCTATAGAGTAAGGTTAGACCAGGAGATGCACTTAAAATAGATATTTACTTATATGTATGCAATCCAATAATACACTCAGAGGCAATTAAACATGCATTTTTAAAAGAAATGATAACAATGTCAGTTTTATTTTATATTAAGCTGTGGTGATTCAGGCCAAATATCAGAACCATGCAAGACAGAAAGCATTTTATTATTACGGCACTAAGCAGCAATGTCACTTGAAAGTCATGTATTTCCTGGTAGCCTGGCTTGTAGTCTTGATGTCATGACTGGGCTATACACATTTGAACTTTGCATTATAATTAGATTTCCTTTTTTTAATTGGCATGCTGCTGATTAAAAATTGAGTCACTATATCATTACTGCACAGAATGCAATTTATTATTGCAAATAAAATCGCACTCGTAAAAATATCCACTTAACCAGTGACCACCACTTGTGATCTCTAATATTTTCCTATTTCTACAAAGTAATTCAGTTTCAACCTTTTCATTTGTGGAAGTTTAACCCTTTGCAATCCATCGTGAATGCTCCTTAAACACATGACCTTCTAACACCTTCCTACCTTGTTAAACTCTCTGTTCGCCCTCCAGCCAGTTCTCACTTACAGAACTTCTATAGTACTGACCCAATACATGTTACAAATATATTATAAGTTTGAAAGAAGGCTAGAGTGATAAACTGTATCAAAGATTTTGAAGAGGCAATAATAATGAGAATGGCAGACAGCTTAAAATGCTAGACCTAGAATTTATGAATAGACAGGTATAGAGATTCTGCTGAGTGGCCAGACTAGATCCAGCTGAATAAAGTTGTAGTAAATGAAAGTAGATAGTTAGCTGAGCACATCACATTCCTAAAGCTTTTCTAAAAGAACAGTTAAAAGGGATGCATTGGAAAGGGAAGCTTCAAACTGCAAGACTGGGGCTCTGACTGTGGACTAATCTGATTTCAGTTTGTTTCAATCTGTAATAATTGTTGCTGGCGTTAACTATACTTATTGGCTCCATATTACCACTGCAGATTAATTATATTAGCAACTAGACATGTGCATTCATTATCAGACGAATATGATTTCGTCCAAATTTTTGGACTTTTTTGTATTTGTTTACTAGAACATAAATGAAAGTTCTTCATATGAAGTATATACAAAACGAAGGACAAATTCCGAATGCGTTACCTTTTCATTTCAGTTCGTTTAATTACAAGGAGGGAGCTACCGGCGAATATGTGAAAATAGAAGCGGCAGCCACTTCCTAACTACCCCATGCCCCCCTAGCATTCTATAAGGGTCAATATGTGTCAGGATTACTGTTTGATCCAGCACGTAGAACTGTACAGCATGGATGACAAATAGGTAACGTATTACCGGTCCTTAGAATGGCCGGATTTAAAGTACAAAGAATAGTCAAAAATACTAGCCAAGGTCAGGGAACACGGAAAGGGACACAGCGATGAGGAAAGCCAGGAGTCAGGATACCAGAATATAGAGAAGTCAATAAACAAAGCCAAAGTCAAAAACCAGGTAGAAAACTATAAACAGGAACGCGCTCTCGGACAACCACAAGGGAAACCACGACAGGGCACTGAGCAGGCTGAGAACTGGGCCTAAATACCCCTCCTTTCTTTCTGATAGGCTGTAACCGGCCTTTGACCCCAAAGTCAGTTACCAGGTTTCATTTGCATAATTGCTGCTCAGCATTAACCCTTCTGTGGATTAGGTTGCTGCTCGGCACAACTTTTCCTGTGTGGACAGTAAATGTCATTAACCACTTTTCTATAAGCGGATGAATACATGAGACCAGGTTTTATTTGCACAATTACTGCTCAGCATTAACCCTTCTGTGGATTAGGTTGCTGCTCGGCACAACTTTTCCTGTGTGGACAGTAAATGTCATTAACCACATTTCTATAAGCGGATGAATACGTGACAATATGACCCCCATATTAGCATAAGGGAGATTAAAATTGACCTATTGTCTCCCCCTGGCCCCCACCCATGAGCAGTGGGTGGTGGCCCTACGTAACAAAAGGGGGGGGGGTGCCTATTGTCTCAGCCCCTGGCACCCACCCTTGAGTGGCGGTTGGGGACTCTAATTAATTAAAGGGGGGGGACCAAATGTCCCCCCTGGTCCCCACCCATAAGCGGCGGGTGGGGACCACAAATAATAAAGTGTCTAGGGTTTCCCTAGCCCCTAGTCATTCCCCCCCAATAAAAAATACCCTACCTACCCCCCTTACCCTAATAATAGTGAGGGGGTGGGAATAAACTAACACCCTGTAAAATAAAATAAAATTTCATACTTACCATTAGATGTCTTCTTTCTTCTTTTCTTTCTTCAGACCCAAAACGCCTAAAAAAAAAACCAAACAAAAAAAACAACGAAAAAAGTAATCCATGTTCACCCAGGCTGTGCCGAGCCTCCAACCGAGAGTTCCATAGCGCAGCAGGCACTCTGGAATTTACCAGTCCACAGGACACCCCCACCTAAAGTCCGTGTACCAGCTGTCTCCTGCACCCACACTGCGCCACCAGAGCCCCAGCTGGGCGGGGTGAAGGTCGTCGTTTGTCTCTTCCTTCTCCGGCCACTCAAGGTTAGTGCCGACTTTCTTCTCAGCTACCGGTCTGCTGGAGGCTTCCGCATCCCAGTCCCTTAGGGCTCACAGCGTTGGGGACATTTACCTTCAGGCTGTCAGGATTATATTGATCCAGCACACAGAATAGTATCACACCCTAAAACTAAGGGCCTTAGAATGGCCGGAATTAACGTAGCCAAGAATAGTCAGATAACTAGCCAATGTCAGGCACACAGAACGATATACAGCGATAAGGAAAAGCCAAACGTCAAGGGTTACAGAACTCAGGGAAGTCAAAACAAAGCCAAAGTAAAAAAACTGAAAAACACGATCAGGAACATACTCTCGGATAACCATTTAGGGGAAACCATGACAGAGCAATGAGCTAAGGGAATATGGTAGTTTAAATAACCCTTTTGCAGATCCGATTGGCTGTACCTAGCCCTTGACCCCAAAACGTCCGGGGGAGACAATAAACCCATCTTCCCCCACCCGCCACTCATGGGTTGGGACCTGGGGGGAACAAGCTAAGGTCAAGGGAAGCCAGAAATAAACAAGTACTATAAACAAAGCCGAGTCAAGGGAGCCAGAAAACTGAATAGTTGAGAGGAAGCTGGGTCAAAACCAAATATATACCACAAAGGATACAGGAATGCGCTATAAGACACTAGTGACACAAGGAACACTAGGAACCACAACAGGGCACTTTACTTTGGGCAGACTGGGCTTTTATATGGTTGGGGGCATTGTTAGCATAGCCATGCCCCCAAAAGGTACGTGTGTGCCGAGCTCTTTTTCATAGAGCTCTTCCAACGTCATGACGATGGCACGCATGTGCCGGGTCATAAATCACTGATGACGGCTGTTGCGATTGATGCTGTAGCTCTGCACAGAGTCTAAGAAAGTCAGGTGGAGGAAATACACAGAAAACAAAGTAGTCCCTACTTTGTCTCTGTTTATCTCTTCACTGGGTTGGAAATTCAATGAAATTCAAACAGATTAAAAATTTGTATTTCATAAAGGTATCTTTATGAAATACCTCATTTTTGGAAGGTGACGGGGGGAGGGGGAGGGATTGGCAGTGCTGCATTAATATATAATATATTTTATTTATTTTCTTTTTAACTAATTTTTAACTCATTTAAATTATGTGAATGCCTAAGTAAAATCCCACAATATTAAAGTTTTATTTTAAGAATGTTATATGCTATTAGGTTATTTTTATTATCTTAATTGCATGCAAAAAAAGTAATCTTGTGTTGAATTTACATATCCTTATATCCCAGAACATAGCTTCCCTGCTGTTAAATTTGCTAGGAATTCATCAATCATGTACTTTACATGTTTTTTTCCTGAAACCAACAATTCATCTCCACTTGATCTTAATCAGCAATCTTCCATACCCATCATTGTCACAGATTTCAATCCAACCGAGTGTATTCCTCTGACATTTGGGATTCGTTGGTTTGTTTCATGACTTTGAATATTGAATTATACTGCACAGTAAACTTTGTAACATCTCAGAAAATGCTTAGTTGACAGATCGAGAAAACCCGCATTGGTTGTACATTTGCCACACAGTAAACCTTCTTCATTTTAAAAATGTGTATTTTCAAAAAACAACCACCAAAGAACCTATTGATTAGTACAAAGCAATGCAAATTGTTTGAAGTTAAATAGGTAAACATAAAAAGAACAAAAATGTATAGGTTTGATTAAAAATATTGGTGTAAGATTTGTGAACACATTAAATATATTTTGTTTAGAGTACTTGTTACGGTACCCTCAGCATGAAATGTATAAACCGCCGTTTAGTGAATGCTCCCCTCTCGCAATAGCATAGGTTGCATACATATCCAGTACAATCATGCGAACCGCAAGCAAGGGAACACTGCAAACTCATGAAGGGGATCCGTACAGGCACTCCAAACTCACGAATCGCAAATATTAGCCGAACGCAGATATCTCCCAAGCGGCTAATAATCCCATCCAGCAGTCTCTAGTCATCAGTAATACATCCCCCCCAATAACGAAACCAAGTTCCGCATTGAGGGTAAAACAAGAACTGGCTTTACTGTGGGCTACCTGCCCGTATTTATGCAGGTCTCCCACTTGGTGGACACTCTCCTAGGGGACCAAATGGGAGACTGTGACAATAGACAGACATATGGCAGGTTAGGACCCACAGACACAGAACATTCCCACAATGCATTAGTGTTCCCTCCCCTCTGCCCTGGAGATAATTGAGACGAAATTAAATTATCTCCAGGACAGAGGCAAATCGCCATTTTAAATTCAACACAGCAAAACATATGAAAATCTATAACTTTACTTTTGTCGAATGCTACCCATTCGTATCACGTATCCCCAGATAGCCTGGATCTGAGTGCATATTATTGGTGAATAGGGCTCAGATCCCATACGCACAGTTCAATCGCCATGGAGTCAAAGTCTATCACAGTCTTTCGGTATGCGATTGACTCCATGGGACGGCTATCTGGGTTAAGTCCGTTCGTGTGTTTAAACCTCCCGAACGGCCGGTTTTCGCATCCTTCTGTTGATTGAGAAGGGAGGTCGGCGGCTTCAGCGGTGTTCGGCAGAAAAAGTGTCCGTTTTCAGTTCCATGAAATCCATGCCGAGCACCGCTGGTCTTTCGCATGGTTTAAAATGGCTGCCGCCTCATGGTCGACATACGAATGACGACCACCCTGTATTCGGTTTTTAATTGAGAAGTGTCTGCGGTTAACCACAACGTTCTAATTGGGATCAAGAGGTTAACCAGCAGCACACTTCTCTTCTGGGTGGCCGTCCGTTCGGTAGTTTTGTTCGGTGGAAAAGTCAATTCACTGAACAGGGCATACGAACGGGTAATTCCACGAACAAGGTAAAAATAGATGAACCAGCAATCTTAGTCTATACAGATGGATCTGTCACAGTACTGAAAGTAAAATGATAAATAGAAACTTAAAAGGCAAATGATAGATGATAGATGTAAAGATATTGTGAAGAAATTACCCCGTTATTTCAGTTATTTAACTTTTTTCCGTTCGGTAGTTGAAACTACCAAACACAGACCACCCTCCTGGCTCGTTAACTACAAAGAGAACAAAGAATTAGTGCCGTTCATATAGTCAAACGCCACGTGCAGGGGAAAACGGCGGCCATCTTGTTCGCATGAAAGGAGGCAGCAGAACTCTATCATTGAGTGTCTGGAACTAAAATCGGACATTCAACTGCCCGAACACTGGTCAAACCATATGAACACCTGCTTCCTTTTGCCGAACAGCTAGGAGAGCGCTGTTCTGTAGTTTTGTTCCCATGAACTAGGGGGACAAACGCTACTATGAGCCAGGGGGTGCAGTTCGTGAATTTGTTCGGTTTTGTGACTTTACAAAATAAACCAACCACACCACCTGAACTCATGGAACTGTTTCTGGGCAAGAACCTTGTGTGCGGTTGGTCAAATTAAGACACCCATGCAACTCCTAAACCCCTAAACTGATCTGGGTGATTTTTGGATATGTTGGTCACCCAGATCAGGGCTATCAGGGATATGACATTTATGGGGATGCTATGTATTTTGGGGTGTTTGTGAAGTTTGGGGAAAAATTTGATTTTTCTGCCTGCAGATAATTGAGTTATTACAGTATCTGACTCAATTATCTACCAGGCAGGGAGGAGGAATTGTATGTTTATTATGGGAGTGTTATACTTTGTAACCATCTTGTGATTGGTATATAACTTTGTGTTTGAGTCCCCAACAAGGTCCATGTGGGAGGAACCCTTGCATGGGGACTTGCATAAAAGCCAGTGTGGCACCCATTAAAATCTTTCCTGTTACACCCTTCATCAAGTTTCGGCTGAAGAATCATTCGACTCAACACCCGAATAATAATCACTCAGGCTCAGGCAGTTCGGGAGAAAATAGACGAACAGGTAGTTACTATACCTGCATTTGTTGCAGATATATCATAACAATAAAAAAAATAAAATGATTGATAGATGATATCCTTCAATGGGAGCTTGAAAATGCTCCTCTATGACCTGCACATGATGGAAAGAGATTGAGGGTGGAGAAATGACAAAGGGGAAGAGAATAAATGCAAAAGGACTAAGACACAAAACTGGGGCCTAGGTGAGACTAATATGTACACAAAATGTTTTGAAATAGTCATAGAAGCCACATTATAAATATAAAATTTTTAATTTTAACTTCTCATAATTTTAGGACTTGTTCAATAATAGAAGCAGCCAAAATAATGTGGCTTTGAAGCTGATGCATTGAAGAGAATTGGTGTTGGAAATCAGATTATTTTAAACTGTATGTGAGTGATACTATGATGAGATGTGTCTCTGCTTTCTTTTTTTTTTCAAACTTTTGTATTATAAGTCATTCTTTTATTATTATTTTGGATCGCTTATCAAGATGGCCTGTTCCAGCTCTTTGCGCATAGGGGCATAATGATTGAATAGTTAAGTCTAAAAATTTATTGTGTTACTTTAAAAATGATTTATGTCCCTTCGTGCAATATTACCTACAGCTGTTTTGGCGATGTCTGTGAGGGTACCGTGCTTGCGCTGGTTAGAATAACGTGACCTAGGAGCATTAAACTGAGTGTGCCAGAAGCTGAACTTGCAATGTTAAAACATTTTACATTGGTGAGTGAATTCGCCTACAGACATAACTTTGTTTGGCAAAGATATGCGTTTGTTAACTAGGGATCAAGTTCATTTGTCAAATTGATATTTAAAACGTGAATCTACAAATTATTTTGAGAGGGCTTTGGCTCTTTTTGTCTCCCCAAGTTGGGTTGGTAAGGGCTAAAATTCATCCTCAGGGTTAAGTTATGACCATGGGCTTGGTGGTAAATTATATGAAAATCGCTCATGTTATCTAGAACTGACAGGCAATTTAATATTTACCAAATAAAGTTTTAAGTTATATGGTATTTGGCTAAGCATTTTAAAGCATATGATTGTTATTCCACCTCGAGCATTAAATATAAAATTTAACAAAAGTGTCTGTATTCATTGTGTGGCCTCTTTATTCTATATATACTACTGAAAAAAACAAAAAAACAGTACTTAGTGTTTGGGTGACAACCCTGCAAAAAAGTGCAAATAGTGCAGTGCTTAAAAGTGGATTAGAGTATAATGAACTGGGACACACCCCTCAATTTGTAGGGTGAAGATAGAGATCACATATAACAGAAAACAATAAGAAAGATTCACAGGCACTCCAAATATGAAAGCCACAGGCAGATTTATTGCAACAAAATGATTGCTGGTCCTGCTCCAGAGTACCGGTGGCCGTTGGGAGTGAGTGCGATTCCTGTGACCAACTTTTGCTATATAACAGAAAACAAACATACATATAGTGCAACATTTGTAACGTAACAGGGAAAATCTATGTAGAGGTGAGTGGAAATAAGCTGACATGTTATAGAGCCTTTTAAAATATAGACTCTAAACTTTGTAGTGTGTGTGCTTTAAGGTGGCATACACACCCCTCTTCTCATGGGTGTTCAGATCAGTTGTTCCCCATATAGTATATAGAAAAGGAAGAAATAATGGAGAAATATCTCCTAAGTGCAGTATACAATATACACAAAAATCCAATATCATAGCGATTTTTGTGATACTGATGCCATTGTTTCAGCTTTTACGTCTAGTTTAGATTCCAGATATCGAGTTGGATAATTAACAATTTGTTTTCATTACACTGTAGTTAGACAAGATCTAGAAGCCTCCAGTTTCATTCAAAGCTTCCAGGTGACAACGGTTAGCTCTATTTAGTCAGATTACATAGCAGAGAAACTGAAGAGATATGCAAACATCTAATGAAATACTTATATTGTAATCAAACAAAAATAAGACTTATAAGACAAAGTTGCTGCAGTTTTGTTCATCACCAAATTCAACATACTATACATGGAATCCACTAAAAGAAGAAAGGATTAGACTAAAGTAAGAGGCTAAAGTTGCATTGCACCATTCAGCAGGACTCACACCTAAGTGAAGGTATGGATCCCTGAGTAGAGAGAGGAACCTTGCGCATTCATCTGTTTAACAAAAAGACAAATCAGTTTTACAAATCTTTTCATTCCAAATAATTTTATTGAATAATTTTAATTTTTTTTTACAATAACAGAACAAAATAAAATAGAAAAAAAAATAAGAGAAAGGAGGGGAGGGAAGACGAATAGAATAACAGGTTATGACACTAAGTTTTAGAAGTTCGAGTTACCTTAGGAAAACACCAAATAGGGTGTTTCCAGGTTTTGAAGTTGATTGCGTTTACGAAAATGGAAAAACACTGATGGACTGCAGCTTCAGTCAACAACGAAGAAAGCAGGAGCTTCCGCACAACAAATGTATACCTAACCAAACGATTATCTTTTTCCAGTATCACTGAAATACCAATGTACCTCTTGCTGCTAGGCTTATGCACAAGCCCCAATAATGCTTACAAGCTGTAATGTCTGTCAAAGCAAAAATAAAGAATTATAAAAAACAAAAAAGGAGGGGAGGGAAGGCATGGAAAAGAAAAAAAGAAAGAAAAATTATCGCAAATCTTTTCACTATTGATACTACAATCTGTTAAATTGCAGTGGTAATTTGGATAATTGCAGCATCTTAATTTCTCTCTTTATAGCAGTCTTCCTGTACCTCCTGTCATAACTTCAGTCAGCTTCACCATCTCATCTTCTTCTCTACAGCTTTTCCACACCCTGCTTTGTTCCTTCACAAGTTTATTCTATCAACCTTCCTACTCTTTTTCACATTGTTCTTATACCTCAATTATTTCTAGATTGTAAACTCATTCAAAGCATTCACTTTTTTGGTTTTGTTATCATTATTTACTTTATCATTAACCTGCTGTTTTATTTCCCTTTTTAACCATTGTTAACTGCTCAGGAATACTCTGTCATTGTTGCAAACCACAATGCAAATAAGCTTCAGTAATAGTTTGAAGAACAAGACAAAGAGTTCAAGTGGTTGCCTTGGCCTCCAAATTACCCAGATCTCAATCCAATTGAGCATCTGTGGAATGTGCTGGAATGATAAATCAGCTCCATTTAGACCTCATCTCGCAAGTTGCAGGCCTTAAAGTATCTACTGTTAATGTCTTGGTGCCAGATACCACAGGACATATTCAGAAGTCATGTGGAGTCCATGCCTTGACTCACCAGAGCTGTTTTGGCAGCATGAGGGGGATCTACACAATTTTAGGCAGGTGATTTTAATGTTATGGCTGATTAGTGTATCATTTACTTGCCATCAAGCATACCCTTTCTATAAATGTAAATCCATATGGAATATGTTGGCGCTTATGGCTGTCATGAAAATTCTTGGGGCCCCTTACAAGCTGACTGGCCGGGCCCCACAACACACACATCCAAACACACACATATTATCAGACAGAGACACTTCAACACGTGATCCCAGAGAGAGATTCTATTGAGGATCTGCAGGTACAGGACGATGGGCTCCTGGTACCTCTTCTAACATCCAGTGCAGCTTCACGAGAACTGGGAGGAAGGAATCTTACAGTAGAGAAGAAGAGGAGTATTGGTTGTCACCACCTGGCGGCCCTGTTTGCGCTATATATATGCCAATAATAATAATACACTTATTTGTGCATTTTCCCACCATTTGGTTTCTAGATCAAGCGAAAAAAAAGGAAAAAAGAGAGGGATAAAGAGGAGGATCATTAAAAAAAATGTATGAAATACATTCATTTTATATATTTTGAATTAATGCTATATATATTTTTTACTGCTCTTACTTTTATGCCTCTGTTTGGTACTTTTCATTTGATCTGTGAATAAAATCTAAATTTCTGGCTCAACAAATGACCATATGTGTCCATCGTGCCAGTAATTTGCCCGGCTACGCATCCATTCGCATCCATTCAGCTCTTTAGAGATGCAGAATTCGGTTGAACTGCCGATCGACCTGTGTTCAGACGAATTGCAATTCCTTTGAAACTGAATGTACAAGTATACTGGAGTGTCCTTATGAGAAGCTACCCTGTGAATCCAATGCTCTTAGAAGATATGTTGTGATTCATACCTATGTGAAGTAATGTGCAACAACTGGTTATCAGAATGGAAATAAAATAAAATAAATTCCACTTGCTCAACATCTCTGGAAAAAATATGCTTCCACAACACTCACAGAATGCTACACAACATTTGCTAACAAGATTGTTAAACTTATTTACTACTTGCCTTTATGTCTTTCCTTATACCTAAAGACAAACTGTGTTAAACAAACATGAGCCAAAACAAGGGTTGTGAGCTTAATAAATCACTGCCCTGCACAGACATCAGTTTTACCATCACAAGACTCAACGATGTGGCATTAGCTTGATTTATAGATTTCACACTTTGAGCGAAGCAAGTGCTATACTGATAATCCTTACTTGGATTAAATATTTTGTGACTGTGCTGAATCCGACTCAAACTGACACTGGAGACCCCTAAAACATTTCTCTTTGCTGAGTGCCAATTTTTAATTAAAGGACTACTCCACACTCATAAAGCACTTTGGCTTTATAAAAATGACAGTTGTTATTATTCTCTTTAAGGGAAAATGTTTTCCTGTTTTGTTTTATTATTATTTCAACATTTTAACACATGTAAGAAATTGTAATCTTTGCTGTTTACTTTGTTAAGCATGCACACTACTTTCTCTCAGATTCTTTTTGACCTTATACTGTTTGGTAATTTTTTTTTTTTTTTAAACGTTATAATTAAAACAATGTTGCTAGGAGATTGGTACAATGATGGTTCAAAAGATTTTCTGTATACAAATTTAAGATTAAAATTATATGATGCACTCATTAACTATATTTTTTGTAAACAAAGATATATAGGTATTTAAAAAAAAATATGACTTACAATGTGTGGAACACTAAAAAGATGGAAAAAAAACTAAAAAGAAATAGTTTATAGTATGTGCATTTACGTATGCTTGCGTATGCACACACCTGTGCCCACGCACACACAAACACACACACATAACAAATAGTCTGTTTGTTATTGTAAATATGTTGAGTATATGTTTTTGCATGAAAAATTCGATTTAGATAAATTTTCCATGTCTTGTAATATCTAAGAGAAATTTGTAATTTCTTGTATTTCTCATGTAAAATATTAATTGTATTACTTGCAAAAAAGACTGACTTTTATTGACATGGACATTGTGAGCAAAAACCTCTGCCCAACTGAAATCCCCTCCTTCCTCCCCAATAATTACTGTTTTATAGACATAACTCAAAAGAAAAATGTATGCATTCAACCATGCATTTTTCAGTGGGAATATTTCAAAAATCGCCTTCTAAATGCACCAGGTCTCATGTCTGAAGCCTTTGCAAACCTTCTACTTCAACCCCGCCCAGATTTTCTGAGGCTGTCCAATCACACACTTCCCAATGCAGCTGAGAATGAGATGTCTATGAGAAGTCTTTGCAAGGTGCCCTGGGCAGTTGCATGCCACTTGGGTTTAGCTCAATTGAGCTAAACAACCAGGAAGTAAAATGATTAGTTCTGTGATTGACAGGTGAGGAGGTGTAACAAGGTTGATTTATAAATGCCAATTTGTATTTAAAGCTGCACTTTTTGTAAAATGGAAAAAGAGGAAACACTCTTCATATATAAAGCAAATCTGCAAGACGAAGTGCTTTAGGGGTCTCTAGTGCTCCTTTAAGGCAGGTATATTGCCCTACCAAAGAAATCAAATTAAATTAAAGTGCATGTATTTTACATATGACTAATTTACTTGCAAACCATAATATCAAGTATTATTTGGGATACTGCCATGTGGAATTTAAACAGCTCATAAGGCAGAGGTGATGCATTTTTATTTTAAATATGGTTAATTAAAATGTTACATAATATTATCTGTTAAAACCACAACATCATCTCAACTTCCCACAATGCACCACATGTCATCCACACTCTTTAACTCTAATGGAAAACATATCCAACTCTACTATGAATATCTGGGGCAGGGAATCATAGGAATTGCATTTAATTACCTGCTGTATAGATTAAATGTACCTTCTCATGAAATGAGAGCTGCCCTACTTTTGGATTAACTACTCTTCAGTAATGGTAGTAATTTTGAATTTTTGGGAAGGTAAAGGCTGGTGAAAGTTTGCATTAGTGAAAGCTGTGCAGCGTTTAGTCTTCACTCATCCAAAGGTGCTGATCCAAAGGTGCAAGCAAGACATATTTACATGGTGGAGAATTTGACTTGTCTGTGCATAATGTGGAATTAAAAGCTTGAATGATGAACATATAAAAGAAATAGCTCACATCCCTAAGGTGGCATGTTAGTAATAACCAGTGTGGTACCCAGGGGCAGTGCCGGGTTACCCATAAGACGACCAAGATGGCCGCCTAGGGCCCAAGTTCTGAGCTTTGAGCTCTGGGTCTGAGTGATGCCGCAGTAATCCATTACTCTACCTAACACAATCACCCCCTGAAGGTAGCCATAGTCATACACAGTCACATCCCACACATGAAGCACAACCTCACCATAAACACAACACACAAAGTCCACAAGCATCCCCTCCTTACACACAACACAAGCAACTCACATATACATGCTCACAGACACATTCACACACAAGGATACTCAGGCACACATACAGGTCCACAATGCCAGAGACACTGACACACTCAGTCAGCAATGCACACACACAATCTCAAGCACATACAGAGTAGTTAGCGCTATACACATAGACACACTCAGCTTCCCCTACAGCTCTCAGTCTTCTTCACATACACCACTTTGCCAGTTATGTGTTAAGTGTCCCTTTGAAGTAGCAGGGACTTTTGTGGGATTGGCTGTAACTCTTTAATTTGCTGAATATAAAATGAAAAAGCTGTTTTATGTGTCGAAGTTGCAAGCTACATCCACTATGCCCTCACACAGCATTGCTCTACACACTAAATGGTTAAATTTAAATTGACACAACGAGGTAAACCAAGAATATTATATTAAAAATACTCCATATGTTACTGTGGCAGTGAAAGGAAGTCACGTTATTTTCATTAGTACCTTGAACTCAATTGATCTACCTGAAACCTGATGTAAATCTTCATGACATTTTTCAGGAAGTTCAGCTGCTAGGTAATAAATTTACCAGGCTAATCTCTCCTGACATATTGGAACATTTGATACATTACGGCAGTGGTACAGGTTCACTGACAATAGAAACAAGTATCAAAATACCATCCATTATCAGACCAGAAGGATTGCTGGATCAGTGCAGAATACAAAGAATAGGCCATTGTTAAATGGTTACTCCAAGTTGAACCTTTCACACTGTGTGTTAATCAAAAAGCAGAAGAAAAAGTGAATGTGAAGCAATTTTCAAATGTGCCTCTAAATGAGGGTCCATCCTTTAAAATAGAAAGGTACAGTAATTGTAGATTGGATTTTATCATCCTTTAAGGGGAACTGTAACTTTGCCCGATTGTAATATTATGTTTATTTATATTTAACAAACGTGTTTGCAAGGTCTTGGAAATAAAATTAGCTGTAGAAATCCACTGTGCTCAGCTTAACTCTACTCTGGGACTGAGCACCTTCATCTTGGCTCCCTGTCAGCCATTGTTATAACACAACAGCCTTTTCCCCTGTCTGTCAGCCCTGCGAAAGAGAAGGAGAAACAGAAATAATGCAATACATGCCCTTGTTGTGCCTGAACTGAACAGGGTTGTGATATAATTTCATAAATACATAAGGGGGCATTATAGGCACCCAGACCACTTTAGTTCATTGAACTAGTCTTCGTGCAGTGTCCCTGTCCTGCAATGTAATTGCAGTACTAAGACAGCCTCTAGTGGCTGCGCCAAATAAAGTTTTTTTTAACCCTTTACATGTCGAGGTGGGGATGGGGAGTGGGCATGAGGGAGAAGGGGACCAGAGGGCACTATAGTGTTAGAAAGACAATGTATTCCTAACACTACAGAACTCCTTAACCCCTTAACGCTGTTACGACGTTCTATGTTCTGTTACGACGTTCTTTAAAGCCGTAGCGGCGGCATATTTTTAGTAAAAGTTAAATTTTTTGCATTTTTCACACACGAACGACACTTTTACTGACGATATTATTGTTGTAATACAAGTTACCATTTTGAAACACTAATATTTGTGTTCAGCGAAATCTCCTGAGTAAAACAGTACCGCCCCATGTACAGGTTTTATGGTGTTTTGGAAAGTTAGAGAGTCAAATATAAGGCTTGCATTTCATTTTTTTCACATTGAAATTTGCCAGATTGGTTCTGTTGCCTTTTTTGCATTTTTTGCATTTTTCACACACGAACGACACTTTTACTGATGATATTATTGTTGTAATACAAGTTACCATTTTGAAACACTAATATTTGTGTTCAGCGAAATCTCCTGAGTAAAACAGTACCCCCCATGTACAGGTTTTATGGTGTTTTGGAAAGTTAGAGAGTCAAATATAAGGCTTGCATTTCATTTTTTTCACATTGAAATTTGCCAGATTGGTTCTGTTGCCTTTTGAGACCATATGGTAGCCTAGGAATAAGAATTACCCCCATGATGGCATACCATTTGCAAAAGTAGACAGCCCAAGGTATTGCAAACAGGGTAGTCCAGTCATTTTTAGTAGCCACTTAGTGACAAACACTGGCTAAATAATAGTTTTTTGCTTTTTTCACACAAAAACAAATATGAACGCTAACTTTGGCCAGTGTTTGTGACTAAGTGGCTACTACAAAAGACTGGACATAACCCACTTGCAATACCTTGGGTAGTCTACTTTTGCAAATGGTATGCCATCATGGGGGTAAATCTCATTCCTGGGCTACCACACACTCTCAAAGGTAACATTACTAATCTGGCAAATTTCAATGTGAAAAAAATGAAAAATGTAATGTGCTATATTTGACCCTTTAACTTTCCAAAACACCGTAAAAACGATTAACGGGGGCTACTGTTGTACTTGTGAGACTTTGCTGAATCCAAATATGTGTTTTTTTTTGCAGTAAAAGCTATCAGTATTATGACATTTACAGCTAAAAAGTGAGGTGGAACTACAATTAAAAAAAATTAAAAAATTATCACAGTTCTTTTGATTTCATTCATAATAAATTATGTTTCATGTAGCGGAGAGCTGGTATTTCACAGGTTATCTCCACTAAAGATCCCAGTGAGGCTCAGGAACAAGTAATACAATCCCATATAACAATAGTCACAGCAAGCAAGGTAATCCACAAATATCCCAATATAGATCCCAATGACTGGACGACACACAGCATCAGGAGCAGAACTAAACTTTTAATCACAAAACCTCCTTTTAAAGGTTTCTCCCATGCAAGGGAGGGATTCACATTAATTTGTACAATAGCCAATAGTGTAATGGTTACCTCCCACACATCTCCTCCCCTCAGTGTGACACATAATCCACTTATTCATACTGCTGTTTTACCTGATTTCTGGATGTACCCCAAAACAGTCAGATATAATTATATAAGGGGTACCCCCTGGTAGCCCTGATCTGGGTGACCAACATATTCAAAATTCACCCAGATCGGACCAGGGGTTTGGTAGTTAGGTGGAAGAGGCAATTTGACTGACCGCACACGAGGTAGTATCTGAAAAAAGCTCAATGTGTTTTGGCCTTGCGGTCGGTCTCTGTTCGGGAGATAAAACATATAGAATTACTTGCCATCCAACATTAAATCAGTATTCGTATGAATTCGGTAAGTTTAGTTCACCGAACGAGGGGCTGGTTGGCCCCTCCGTTCGGGAGTTATGGAGCTCTGGAGGTCTCAGCGGTGTTCGGGTGATTGAGTGTCCGATTTGAGTTCCAGACACTCGACGACCAAACACTGCTGAGATTTTCTTGCATAAGATGGCCGCCGACGCACAGTTCGTTTGCCGAACGGCGACCACCCAGATATGTATACAAAGAGTGTGAAAGCCTAACGAGGCGCACACTTCTCTCTGGGGTGGTCTGATGGTTAGGTAGTTTTCATTCGTATGGAACACGGACTAAAAACTACCGAACAATCAGACGAATGCTACATACAAGACATCTATACAGGGGAATAATCACACGAAATACATTTTTAAAGCAAACTTTGAGGACAGCCCAATGCCATCCGCTACATTTCATATATAAATATTTATATTAATTGAAAGCCCTGTTTCTCCTGAACAAAATGATATATTATAAGTGTGGGTGCATATAATATGAAAGAGGTGAATTACGGTTGACCAGACATATAGCGCAAATTTCAGGTTTTGTTTACATTTTGTTTTGATCAGAACATGTACTATTGACTCTGTTCTGAAGGGGATATACATATATATATATATTTATAAAAAATACACATGAAAAAAAATCAGAAGTTATAGAGGATTTTAAATATTTCATTCAAGGATGTAATTTGAAGCTGTTGGCAAATTGGTTACCTCAGATGATTGGTATATTCCATATGGTGTTCTTGACAAGTGTACATTATTTTTATGCTGTCCCTGGCAGATTTATTCATGTTTGTTATACCTTTTGGGTACCCTGCATCACAGACACTGCATCTGTGTGTGTATAATTACATGCATTCAAATATATAATATGTGGGAGCCGTGGAACCGTTCGTTACTCTATGCGTGCATTCTGTATACACATTGGGAATGTGCACACATACATTCTGTTATTGCATTTCAAAAGAGTAAGTGCCAGCAAACGTGCTATTGCAATCATAGTCTGATGCTTTTGAAGATTTAAAGTCGATCTGTGTACTCTTTCACCTTTCTCCTATGACAATAGTTAATTAAAAAAAAATCACAACATAACATCTATTAAATGCTGGTAAAGTATTCATTCCCCCTCTCTGGAGGATGTCTGATGTTCTCACCCTCCAAAGTGCATCAACAAAGGTTGGCCTAATTTGGTTCCCCTGGACTGAATTTCTCTTCCACTCCTTCTTTACCTCCATCTGAAACTTACACTTTTTATTTGTCTCTTGACCCTTTACTCTGGCTGGCATGACCTATTTCTTCCCTTCGTTCCCCTTCTCTATTTTTTTTAATGAGTTTTTCTCTTAAGTTTTAATTCCTTTCAGATCATGTTCTAAGATCTGTTAAGTAGTGTTTTTTTAAAAAGGTTTTATTGTTTGTTATTATGCTACTGACTTCTGCTTGTATGTTCCAACAGTTGTATTCTTGTACAAAATAAATGAGTATTCAGCTATAAGCATTTGCAACACTTACAACAATCAAGTAACATACATTCATATAAAATGTAAGTTACTTGGCCAGTCAATGTAATGACAGGAATGAATAAGTAGATAACTCCCTAATTCCCACGGTATTAAGGAGCTATCTACTAAAAGGCTGAAAGACCTGAATTGGTCTTTCAGCCAAATTTACTAAAGATTACTTAGTATGAGTAAATTATACCCCTACTCGCTATACCGCAAGTAGGGGCATGTCTATTAAACAGTGAGCAGCCTGTGGCTGCTCACAGTAAAAAAAAACAAAAAAAAAAACAAACGTCCCCCCTCCCCCTCCTAACCTGAAGGGGGACCTATTGCCCCCCCGGCCCCCACCCCTGAACAGCGGGTGGGGGCCCTAAAGTAAAATAAGGGGGGGGACCTATTGCCCCACCCGGCCCCCACTCCTGAGCGGTGGGTGGGGGCCCTAAAAACTAATTAGGGGGGACCTAATGTCCTCCCCCTTGGGCCCCACCCCTGAGCAGTGGGTGGGGCCCTAAAATCTTCCCCCGGCCCTAAATACTAATTGGGGGGGAACCTAATGTCCTCCCCCCTGGCCCCCACCCCTGAGCTGTGGGTGGGGGCCCTAAATTAGAATGAGGGGGGGAGGACTTAATGTCCTCCCCCTGGCCCCCACCCCAGAGCGGTGGGTGGGGACCTAAAATACTAATTAGGGGGGACCTAATGTCCTCCCCCATGGCCCCCACCCCTGAGCGGTGGGTGGGGCCCTAAATACTAATTGGGGGGGACCTAATGTCCTCCCCCTGGCCCCCACCCCTGAGTGGTGGGTGGGGGCCCTAAATAAAAAAATAACCCCGCCTCCCCCAGGTGACTAGGGTTCCCCAAACCCCTAGTCACCCCCCTCCCCCAAAACATTAACCCCTACCTACCCCCCTCACCCTAAAAATAATGAGGGGGGACCATTTAACTAAGTACCTGAAAAAAAAATAAAACTTACCATTTTATGTTTTCTTTCTTCTAAAATCTTCTTTTTTCAGCCCCCAAAAAGGCTCTTTTTTAGGTTGAACACAGGAGACAAGAGAAAAATCTACACAAAGAAGGAGAAGGTCGCCTTAATGGACCTACCTGCAGTAAATACTTGAGTTAGGTTTATAGCTCAAAAAAATATGCGTGGTTCCATACATATTCTACACTGATTTGTGGTTCCCATAACATTTTAACTATTGGACTTGTAATTCCTTTTTAGGTATCATGTTACAGATACCATCACTACTTTTGTATATTGTTTTAAGGTATATACTGTTTTTTTCTTTCCTTCATATATATAGCGCTACACTATATTGGCTATTATATACACACGCAGCCCCACAAGCAGTCTCTCACATGCAATACCCCAAGCAGCCCCACACATACACACACCACCAATGTGACACATACAAAAATCTGCAAGCAGCCTCCATACACAGCCCACATTCATAGGTGTCATACACAATACACAAACTACTCATGAACATATACAATATGACAGCCCACATGCACACAAATACAATGCTACAAAGCAACTGCAGCACCTATAAATAACACAAGCAGAATGCACATACACACTTCCTGGTTGTTTAGCTCAGTGGAGCTAATCTCAAGAGGCAGCAATTGCTCAGAGTACCTGCTTTGCAAATATTCCTTATTAAGCTGCATTGGGAAGTCTGTGATTGGACAGCCACAGAAATTCTAGGCTGGTAAAGAAGGTGAGGACTTGCAAAGGCTGCAGATAAGAGAACTGTAGGTTTTACAAGCTGTTTTTAGATATTTTCCGATTAAAAAAATATATAATTAAACACAAGCATTATTTAAATTAAGGTATATCAAATTGTAGTTGGGCATTGGAGTATCCGTTTAAATTTGAAATTCACTATAAGTTCTCCCTTTAGTAAATAATTGTGTGTTTGCGGCATCTCAAATATCTCAATGGAGACTCTAATACAGCATTAAATAATCTAGCAGTATTTCCTCAGACAGAGAGAGAGAACATTAGTAATATTCCTTGTATAAAGCCTCGGGATTTCATTAAAGTAAAATGCAGCTTTTGACAAACCAATGACTGCTGAATGAAGGAACTCAAAGCTCTTTGATAATTTGTCTTTCACACCTTGTTCACTTATCAGAGACATACACGTACTCAGGTCCAGATTGCATCTACTCGAATGTCTCCCTGAGCACTGAATATTTGATGACTTCTATACTCTGTACATTTAATACACCAAAGTCTAACAACCATCTTAAAGTGAGCAAATACCATTCTGTAAGGCCATGTTGATTTTAGAGAATATATATATATATATATATATATATATATATATATATATATAAATATATATTAATTCAGCAGATTTTTTTTAATGCTGTATGTCAGATGTTTTAGTGCTGTATGAAATTTCCCCTTGTTTTTAAATTTTTAAACTTTTAATTTGGCAGGTTATTACATGAATATATCTAATGCACTCACTTTTGAATTCATTGAATGTTCTATTATAGTTGAGGAGAAACAAAAAATGGAACACCAACATTAATAAAAGTTTTGAGAAGGGGCAGAGATAGCAATGGAGAGAAGCAGACGCACATGCCTAGACCTCCTGAGAGATGCTCATTTCACAAGCTTTTTTTCACACAAAACCAGTGAAATACCATTGCTAAAATCTTTCTGGAAGGAAGGAAAACTAAGTTCTGACAAACTAAAACCACTATCTCCTTTAAAGATATATGTTATCTACTTCTTTTGACATCGCAAGTGCTGCCTGCCAAGATGGCACCCGTGCGGGAGCTCTCAGACTACACATCAGAAAAGACTGATCCCGACGACTAATAGGGCACAGAACTACCAGTTAGCAAGGCTGATATTGAGAACTCCTGAAAGAACTCAAGTTTTTTTTTGGTGCTGAAATATCACTTGCCCGAGAAGATATAGGAACTATAACTGCTCGGCTGCATGCATGGAGGATGACAGTGATACTGTAAGAGGCAGACATATGACTTGAGGTTAGAGGTGGACAAGCTCAAGCAAGCCAGCCTACTTATGGAAGGCAAAGTGGCAGTGCTCGAATATTCTATGCGATAATGCAACCTCTGGATTAGAGGTATATCAGAAGACATACATGACAATGAAGTTCCTTACTACCTAAGACGTTTGCTATCCTCTTTATTGTCACCTTCTAAAGTAAAAAGCATAATTGTGCAGTACCTCTTCAGGGCTCCTAAATCAACAAGTGACCCAGCTGGGGTCCCCAGGGATTTGCTGATCTGTTTTCAGTCTCTTCGTAGTAAACAGCTAGCACAGTCTGCTGTATGCGAATCACCCACTTAACTCTTCAAGAACTTTGACCTTATTTTATTATGATCTATCTCAATCTACCATAATGATATGACAGTCCCTGCAACATACCACACAGCTGCTGAGAGATAATGAAATCCAATATCGTAGGAGTCTGGGTCATAAGCTGACCATTATACATAAGTAGAGGCAAGTTCAGCTCTCTCATTTATCAGACATGGATAAGCTTGTTGAGGTTCCGGTGTCTTTCCCTGCTTGCTACTTCAACAAGGCCTTCCTCGGATCAAACCACTTCTTCCTCTCAGTTATGGGATTTACACAGGGTTGAGTCCTTCTGTCCCAGAACAGGACAGACAACGAGTTAGTTGGAGTCGACAGGCACTTGAGCTTATCTGGAAGATTTGTGGTTCTCTACTCCTCTTCATTGCCCAATAATTCCTTAGGATGATTACAGCTACATAATACCATGCTCTTTCTCTTTTTATATTTATTATTATCCTTATTTATATTATTATTACCTTGTTTGCTACTTAATAAGTCTTTACGCTAATACCACTCTATAGAATAGCCAGCTTAGTGATTATACCTGGTAATTATGTCTTACTATGTCAGTCTTTCAAGGGGCTCCTACCCTCCCATTTTAACATCACTGTCTCAGTGATGCAACATTTATCCAGCTATTGTTTTTTATGACAGTTATTTGATTATGTATTTTTACTTATTTTATCATTCTATTCTAACATTGCATTTAAAATGTAGCAAGAAACCGTACTAAGGGGGACCGGGTGTGCCAGAAAAAGACTAATAACTTGTGGTATCTGCCCACTCTTGCTCAGTCCAGGAGCGTTGTGAGATGCACGCCTAGTGAATTCACACTTGCTTTCAGCTGGGGCTTCCTGGGGGTAGCAGCATGGTGTGGTAAGCCGCGGCACCGCATCTGTCTGCACACGCTGCTGGGCAGGCTGGAGTTCTCGGCGTGCACTGAGAGGAGACCGCTGTAGCCGCAGGCTGAGACGCAGCGAGGGACCTACAGGTAAATGTGGTTGTGAGAGTTAGCGATGTGGTGCCAAGCCCGTCTGGCACACACTAGGCCTCATGTTGACAAATGTTCTGCATGTAGACGTCAATCGGGTCACAGACCGCTGTATTGGTTCCCGACCCAGTTCGTGGGTCTGGTAGGTCGATGGCTTTTGCCCAGTTTGAGCCCTATGAGGCTGGTGACATTGTTATTCATCTTGATTATTGTGGAGCTCAGAGAAAACACATCTCTCCTCCATGTTTCTCAGGCCCCGCCCCCCAGTTACACGAGTCTTGCTACAATAAAAATATAAATACATAAGTAAACAATGTTTTATGGAAAATAGTTGAAGGATCCCAAACAAAAAAAGTTTAAGAAAAACAACAAATAGAATTACAAATCATTAGCATACTGCTGGCATGACCCTTTTTAACTTCTCACATTCGTGTAATTCATAACCTTTTCTTGGACGAGGACTTTGGGTACATTAACAGTTGTGAATATGTCTCAAGGAGATTTCTCTGTTGTAATTATAGCAAAAATAAAACCTAGTCAGAAATGACCTGCTTGACAAATATCTTCTAGTTTTTACTGTTGTAAAGAACCTTTCTTATTTTAGAATTGTGTCCCTTAAAAGAAGATCCTGCTGAAAAGTCCTCTGGCCCCTCATCCCCTGCACCTCCCCAACTCCTGCAGTTCCCCGTTGAGCTCCAGCCCAGTTCCGCCTCGCCCCTCTCCGGCCTCTCGCATGTCACCAGCGCTTGTCTCCCCGGCCACCTCACACAATGCACCCACCTCGTATGAGGGATCGCCCAAGCTTCAGCAAAGGCGATAAAGGGCTTCTCACGCTAACCTGCCCGATACCTGTACTGTATTTTACACTGCATGAGGTTAACAATAACATCACTAGACAATGTGCATCGCAGGTCAGCGGTTTAGATATTACAAGCATGGAACAAACAGATGACTGATATTATGTGGTACAACTGTAAGAAGCCTCTGCGCAGGCACAAATGTAACTAAGATTTAATACAACACTGAGCCTCTGCGCAGGCAACATTATATTGATTTTCGCTTCTCACACTATGCATGCAATTTTACTGCAAAAACAATAAAAAAACATTTAAAAAAAAAAAAAGAAAAGAAGATCCTGCTATGAATTTGTGAGAGACCTTGGGCTACAACAAATGTATAAATGGGATATGCAGAACATCAATTCTGAAAATATGCTGTATTTCACATCTGGTATGGAGGCATATCAGGGGCAGAGCCAGAACAACTCAAACAAAGCCCTGGCCAATCAGCATCTTGAATCAATGCATCTCTCTGAAGAAAGTTCAATGTCTCCATGCAGAGGGTGAAGACACATAATATCAGTCCAGCACTACCCCAGGAAGCACTTCTAGTAACCATCTGAGGAGTGGCTAGTGGAGGTATCCCTAGGTTGTAATGGAAACACTGCATTGTCTCTGAATAAACAGTGTTTACTGCAAAAACCCTGAAGAGAATGATTATAATCACCAGAACAAATAAAATAAGCTGTGCCCCTTTAAGTTCCCACGAAACTATGGCCATCAATGCCTCCTGTATTTTTTTTCTTCCAATTTTATATTATCTAACATGTATTGTACCTTTGTGTTTTTGTTTGTAGAAATTGTACCTATTGTACAGCGCTGGGAAAGTATAATAATAATACTACAAATGTTTTACTTCTCACCTTTACTCTGATTTGAATTATACTTTTTTATTAGCTGTTTGGTTTAGATTTTGACATTTTAATACATTAGCTCTATAACTTGTGCTATCAACTTGTTGTTAAATTTATTCTGAAGTGTCTTGTTAACCAGAGAGTGTTAATGTTGTGTGCAACCTTACGTAGAAAGGCTGTATACCTTAAAATAATAAATATGTACAATAGTGTGAAATCTAACATAAAAATGTAATAAAGCTATGTAACAATGAAACACTCACATAGTACTCAGCAATAAAACCTGGATCAGGTGGAAACAGCAGCAGGGTCTGTTTAGACGATCCTCCCCTTCTTAATGTGCTAATTCTTCTCAACCAGTCCTATACAAAGGCTCAAGAGAAACTCAGAAATGGTGCAGTATAGTAAGACAGAGGATATCCTTATACTAATCTAAGATAGGTTCTCACAAAGATGGAGCTAGGATTTTTATCTTTATAAATAGCAGGAACAAGATGCCATAGGTTTATATCAAAGGATCACTATAGGGTCAGGAACACAATCATGTATTCCTGACCCTATAGTGTTTAATCCACCTTTTAGGTGTCTGGCGCCCCATTAGCTCCCCTATAAAAGTATAAAACTCACCTTATTTTCAGCGCTCCACAGGTCCGCTGGCGCGGGCTCCGCCCCCTTTGTGACATCATCACAATGCCCAAGTTTTAGCCAAACCAATGCTTTCCCACAGGGAAAGCATTGGATTGGCTAAAAGTGGCACGGGCGGGGCCAAATGCCATTTTGGCCAATCAGTACCTCCCAATAGAGATGAATTGAATCAATGCATCTCTATGAGGAAAATTCTGCGTCTCCATGCAGAGCGTGAGGACTCTGAACGGCAGGGCTGCTTACTGTGCAGCCCTGAGCCAGGAAGCCCCAGCAGTGGTCATCTAAGGAGCTTCTCTGAAAAGGCAGTGTTTACATGAAAATGCCTGAAGGGAGTTATTAAACTTTAAGCTGTAGTTGTTCTGGTGACTTTAGTGTCCCTTTAAAATGTACATTTATTAATAAGAAATACAAAAACAAATCATAAAAACAAACATAAATGGCAATGTTTACAGTTCTCACTGTCCCCAGGATATGTTTTGCAGTCTTCTCCACAGCTTCCTCAGCTGGGCAATTGAAAGTGAGAGGTGAAGGTAAACTGGCCCTGCATATATACCCCCTTAATAGGAGGATAATCTTGTCCAGGTTTGGAAATGCATGTGCAATGCGCCATCCCTTCAGGGGCGTGCCGCGTTCAAAGACTCATTTCCTATATATCGTATGACGAGGCGGCTACGTTCTTCTTTCTTCAGACATTCTGGAGTGTCTCATTAAACAGAGAGTGTTAATGTTTAATTTCCTTTGACACGTAAATATATATACTGTGTTTCCGGAAATAAGACCGGGTCTTATATAAATTTTTCCCCTGAAAAACACACTAGGGCTTATTTTTGGGGGATGTCTAATTTTGGGGAAAAACTGGAATTCTCTCGAACACAGACCAGTTCAATAGTGCATGGAATCCCACAAATCTATGTTTGGGGAAAATTCCCCGAACATAGATTAGCAAACTAGCGATTGGCGATTAGGGCTTGTTTTCGGGTAGGGCTTATATTACGAGCATCCCCCAAAAATAAACTAAAGCTTATTTTTGGGGGATGTCATAACATATGTTATGTGTCAAATGAAATAAAACATTAACACTCTCTATATATAAATAAACTGAAGGAGACAGCTTACAAATATATTTTATGTTCCTATGATACACACTAATTATATAAATGAACTTTTCTCATGTTTGATAGTGACCCTTTGATGTTTTACTAACAAACATTCTAAAGGATTAAAATCAGCAAAAACATAAAAGAGTCACTTGTTCAATTATCTCACAATTTATCTTCCGCACCTCACCTGCTTGTTTGGTTGCCTGCAGAGCCAATCGATTTATCTGTCCACTGTTTGTCATTAATGTTTTGATTCTGCTGAGATTTTTGATGTTCTGCCGTATGCTCTGCTTCTAACTGTTTGTAAAGTCCAATGGGTACTTTACCTGTTCAATGCTTGGCCATCGCTCATAGCTTGTCACATTTTATGGTTTCCAATAACTCATTACACAGTATGCAGAAGTGAAAATGTACTTTCTCCAGAATAAAAAATTAAAGTCCACAGGAACGAATCCTTAAACTTTGTAGAATAACTTAAGTGAAATGTCTAGCGGTGTCTTCTATGTAAAAATACGTGACTTGTTAATGAATTCCCAACATAACCAAAAACAAATAGAGTGGTTACTTTAAAATCTAACATTTACATTTCACAGAGAAAAGGTAAACCATTAAATGGAAAAACATGGAGAGGGGAGATAGATAAATTCTGCTCGATGTCTGTCTGAAAATGTGTTTTCTTTGCGGAACGTTTACAATTCTTATTAAAAATACAAACATGAAAATAAACCTTCATGGTACGATATTGCTTTTGCTACATATTGATTAAATACCGTTTGATAATAAAGTATTTTAAAAGCCTATCCTGAATTTCGAACCTGTAATATCCCAAATTATGAGGTAACCATGACCAGTGACGTAGGAGAAAATAAAATTAAATAAGGAATCCCCAAAACACTTATCTGGGAAATCAGGAACAAACACTCTAAGCCAGTCTAGACTTCCTATTGACATGACACGCCCGCCTTCACTATAAATGTGTTTTAG